CCATGATAGATGTTTGTTTGCAAATATGTGTTGGAAGAACACTTATTTGTCATGATCCAACTAGAATCTATATGATCCTCCCTATGAAACTAAGGACATTCCAAATGGTTCAATTATCAAAGGTGTAATGTTCCAAATGGCTCATATAATAGAAAACTCAGTTTAGGCAACCCAGTTCAGAAGTCCAAAGTCCTTAAGACTTTTGTAATTAAAGCACTGAGTTCAACTGCTACAATTACTGAAAGTGAACTGCAGTATGCAGCAAATCACAATTAACTATCCCAAAAATCAAAATAGCATTTTTAACCCACTAAGCCATTAGTCAATCCTCGCAATCTAAAATCTTCAAACAAAATAAGAAGGAAAGAGCCATCAAAATGATATTCCACAAGAACCATATGAATGACTTAAAATGGGAAAAGTGACTGTTTACTTCTCCCCTTCTCATATAAATTCTTGTTTTCATAGGGAGCTTGAGTTTCAAAAGATATGACTATTTCAGTTTTCATTATTTGCCTATGCTCGATCTTGAAACTTGAAAACTACAATTTGAACCAATAAGAACTGTAAATTATGGTGCTACTTCTAAATAATAAAACTTATTTCTTTTATTTTGCTTTGGCGACTTAACGCTGAACATTTTTTGCGTCTACTTTCTGCAAATGCTCCTCCATTAATAGTTGTCTAAGACTCTGAGTCACTTCTCACTTGGATCTTAAAATATTGACATTTTCCAAATACTCTTGGTCACATTTTTCATAGAAAAGTTTCTTTCCCTTGTTGCAGTTCCTCAAACAAATGTAACAGTCCCTTAATTGAAAAAGAAGGGGTAGATAATCTCACCATCCTTAAGTTCTGTGGATACTTTCAAACAGCTTAATGATTCTTTCTGCAATTCACCCAAATCTAAAAAAACTCAAAATTTTTGTTTCTCATATCTGGTGTTATTGCTAGAACAAGACAACCAGATCATCACCTGCATCAATCTACTGACGTGTCAGTTCCGAAATAGTTAAGGTCAGCTATAGGAACCTGATGTATCAATTCCACTCCATTCATGCCCATTTTGGCTTCAGTACACATGTTTCATCATAATTACACTATTTTTTTATACTAATTGTCAACCTATTGACGTGAGAGTAGCTAAGGTTTGCGCAACTAAAATAAGCTGAATTAGGTCAGAAATCAGGGATATTTAAAAAGAAAAATAACATCATTATCAACAACACCTAATCACAACAAAAATGGATAATTAACAACTCAAACCTGTAGATATCAAAGCTTAGCTCCTTATAGAAGAGGGAAGGAAACTCCTCTCGGATAGTCCGAATAGCATAACCCGTATTCAGATAGTAATTCCGCTTCTCCTCCTCCTCTTCCTCGTTCACCTCAATCGACGACGACAACGACGTGCTAGTCTGCACATGGGCAGAGAACTGTGCGTAAAACCCCAAATTATTCTCTGAATTCAAAGACGGAAACTCCTCCAAATCCTTCACATACGAATAAACCTTAACCCTAGCACCTCTAATTCCACACCTAGAAACCGTGAGCTTCTGAGCATTTCTAGGGTTTAAGTAGGAAGAAATCCTCAGAGGAAGGCGACCGGCGGGGAATGATGAAATTTCCAGCGACGGTAAAAGAGTGGCCATCGGAGATTAGATTTTGGAAGAATTTAGTTAGATATTTTCCAATTGGATAGTTGAAATATAGTTATGGAGTTGGATCCGCTAGAAAATTCTCCTATTGGTGGATGAAGGAGATATTTTAGTAGTTAAGACTTTTTTTTTTCAACGTAAATATCTTGAAAAAATGTTCACAAATATTAAGTACCGTTATAAACGAAGTTAATGAAACTTTAAAATGGGATTATACTTTCTTCCTCGATCGGATCACATTCATCTTAAGAATACCAATCAAGCTCATATGAATATTAAGTAATAATAGCAAATGATATTTCGTACCAAATAATATTAATAAAATTTTAAAATCGTATTCAGTATACGGATTTATAAGTTGTATTCATATATAATTTCTTTTAGTTAAAATTGCCTATAAATTACATTCAACGTGATTTGTAATCGCACTTACTAAATACAAATATCATTCAAAATGAAATGTTCTCTGAGCCATGATAATGGGAAAAAAACCCTTGGAAAATGACAAAAAATAGTCTTATGTGTTAGGTTCAGCAGCAATGAGATAGATTATGGACAGAACTTAAAAGTCACAAGTTAATTGGCAATGTATTTCCCTTTAGATATACATGATATAACACATTGAATAATTACACAGGCCATCATATTATATATGTATAGTAAACTGATAAGGACTGAGCTATAGCTCAGAACTTCAGACATCACTCTTGATTGAAGAACTATAATTGGTTTGATCATCATAGTATTTTGACCACAGCATCACACCACCATACTTGGAAGAGTTTTTTATTGAAGGAAGAACTTGGGAAGTGAGGTCATCAGCAGGGATGAATCCGCTTCCCGCGGCTGCAGGAGCTGCTGGCAATCCAAGGAAAATCTTTGTGGCAGGGATATCTGCTGTCCACTGTTTCCATGCAGCTTCAAGATTGCTAATATCACTAGAACTGTATTGACAAGGAGGGTTGTTATAGAATTGAACCCAAACATAGTCGAAAAGGCCTGTTTTTAAGGCGTTTCCAATCCAAGCATCAGGGAATGGGCATTGAGGGGCTGCTGTTAAGTAAACTTTCTTGCCCATACTGCTATATGCAGAAAGAGACTTGGCAAGAACATCCCAGTACAGATTGGTTCCTCCTTCAATATCAAAGTCTATTCCATCTAAAACAGCATCACCAAGTGGACGTGTTGTCGATTGTCCCCCCAAGAAGTTGTTCCAAAGATAAGTGGCAACTTCCCTAGCATCATCAGCAGAAGCAAGATAGTAGCTCCCAGCACCACCTCCAATTGACAGCATCACTTTAATTCCTTTGGCTTGGCAGGATTTTATATCTGTGCTTAATTTGGTACACTCGCCAACATTTGGATTACAATGACCAGATAGATCTATCATTGGTTGTTGACCATTTCCGAAGGTTGGCAAAAAAGCTATGTTCACCAAGTCATAGTTCTTCGTGGCACAGGTTTCCGCCAGAGTTCCTTCACCTCCATTCTGACCCCAGTAAATAGCAATTCCACCAGCATCACAAGAAGCTGCTAGTACTAGAATCACTATGGAGAGTAATGCAAGTGATCTATTGGATTGGAGTTCCATTCCTTGATGATGTTCGCTAAATATTGAAATGACTTCTATAGGAAACACTTTAAAGCTGTTCTGCTTTAGAATTCTGGTAGATAAGCACTAGAGCATTGCTTATTATAGGATGAAAATTTCCTTTCTCAGACTGCTACTTTGTGCTTATGCTAAGGAAGGCGTGGCTTCACGGTTAAGTAGTTTTCAGTTTTATTCAAATTCTATGAATAATCTTTTGTTTGTGCTTCTGGATTATTATGTTGTCTCTTTCCCCTTGTCTTCTCCTAAAGTCTCTTGATGTTAAAACAAAGGCAAAGTTTTTCCTTTTACATAAAACTAGCTCACAACTGTGAACCTTGTTAACTGTGCCTCTTCCAAATTCTAGCTCTTCAATGAAATGGACCAGTAGCTTCAACAATGAAAATAGGTTATAAGAAACAGAATTCTCTTTGCCTCCAGTTATAAGAAATATTACTTGCTTAGACAGAATGAAGTAACAATACTCATGGCATGAATTGTTAAAGATGATTAGGTGGTTTTGGTTGGGCAAACTAAACCTAGTTATGATTCTGCAGTTTTTGGTACAAATCTAAGTTGAAAGGTTCATTAAACTGTAACTTACTGGTAATGGACTTGATGAGTACAACTAAATAGGCATAGATAATAACTAATATCTTTAAACCAACGTCGAAATGGAGAAATGGACCGAAAGAGGGATATTAACTTGTCATGTAATTCTCTCTACTCATCATAAGCAAGCCATTAAACATCCATTTTTTGGTTAGTATAGTCAACGGCTTCCAATGAGACTCAGCTGAACTCACCAAAGAGAGGGATAAAGAAGAAGTCTGAGCACTAAGGATGATAACTTACTAGTTACTATAACATTCATTGCACAAAAATTGGTAGGAGATAGGTAAGAGGTCTGGTAGATTGTACTGGTGCAGCTTCTGGAGTTTACATCAGTACATAACACGATGATGAAGCAATGTCAAAATTGTGGACTTCAAACAGTGATGATAGGTTAGAGGTCTGCCATTATGTTTGAGAACATGATGTCTTTCGAACTAAGTCATAGATGAATATTATTTGTTTTGTATATAAGGCATGTCTTGCACCGTTCTATCTCAAATCAGAAGACGGTTGGTCTTAGTCATTAATGAACAATATCTGTTGAAGCATGAAAGCAAGCATAATATGTGGATTATTGCAATGCTTTGTTTTTCCTCAGAACTTATATCTTATCTTGTCTATGAGATAACAACTAATGGATGTGCATCAATGCATCCATTTCATAAAGAATGGAATAGATATGAGAAATGAACCAACATAATCTATGGAAAAGGGTCAAAAATGCCCCATACATATTGAAAATGGCTTACATTTTGCCCTCATCCCATCTATTGGATCCGAATCGCTCTTAATGTTAATTTTCAGGTTAAAAATGCTCCTCCTTCCATCTATTGGACCCCAATTGCCCTTAACGTTAAATTCTTAGTTCAAAATGCCCCTCCTTTCAACGGAACTATGAGATGGCACATGTGTGGTTTTAAACATATGGCACTGATTTGTTGATCCAGGTGGCCCCAACCATTAACGATCCGACCCATCCTAGTTAACCCAAAACAACTATGGAATTCTAAAGTTATTTTACCTTTTGACTTGAGCTCCTGTATCACATTAGAATGATATTCTTCTCTTTTCTGTCTTCTTTTTATGTCTTTTACATTGATGGATCATGAAGAGTGCAAAAACTTGAAGTGGCTATGTATTTTCCTTTAGATACATAAATTGAAGCATAATTACACAAGAGACAAGTTGCTATCATATTACATATATATGTATATTGACACAACATACTTGATCACAAATAAGGGCTGAGGTATAGCTCATAACTTCACACATCACTCTTGATTGAAGAACTATAATTGGTCTGATCGTCATAATATTTTGACCACAACATTACACCACCATACTTGGAAGAGTTTTTTATTGATGGAAGAACTTGAGAAGTGAGGTCATCAGCAGGGATGAATCCACTACCAGCAGCTGTAGGAGCGGCTGGCAAGCCGAGGAAAATCTTTTTGGCGGGGATATCTGCTGTCCACTGTTCCCATGCAGCTTCAAGATTGCTAATATCACTAGAACTGTATTGACAAGGAGGGTTGTTATAGAATTGAACCCAAACGTAGTCAAAAAGGCCTGTTTTTAAGGCATTTCCAATCCAAGCATCAGGGAATGGGCATTGAGGGGCTGCTGTTAAGTAAACTTTCTTGCCTATACTGCTATATGCAGAAAGAGACTTGGCAAGAACATCCCAGTACATATTTGTTCCTCCTTCAATATCAAAGTCTATTCCATCTAAAACAGCATCACCAAGTGGACGTGTTGTCGATTGTCCCCCCAAGAAGTTGTTCCAAAGATAAGTGGCAACTTGCCTAGCATCATCAGCAGAAGCAAGATAGTAGCTCCCAGCACCACCTCCAATTGACAGAATAACTTTAATTCCTTTGGCTTGGCATGATTGTATATCTGTGCTTAATTTGGTACACTCGCCGACATTTGGATTACAATGACCAGATAGATCTATCATTGGTTGTTGACCATTTCCAAAGGTTGGCAAAAAAGCTATGTTTACAAAATCATAGTTCCTCGTGGCACAGGTTTCCGCCAGAGTTCCTTCACCTCCATTCTGACCCCAGTAAATAGCAATTCCACCAGCATCACAAGAAGCTGCTAGTACTAGAATCACTATGGAGAAAAATGCAAGTGATCTATTGGATTGGAGTTCCATTCCTTGATGATTTTGCTAAATTTTGAAATGACTTCTTTAGGAAAAACTATAAAGCTGTTCTGCTTTAGAGAGCATTAGATCATTGCTTTTTATAGGATGAAAATTACTTACTCAGACTCCTACTTTGTGCTTATGCTAAGTAAAGCGTGGCTTCACAGTTAAGTAGTTAACAATTTTATTTAAATAGAGGATTTATCTTTGGTTTGTGCTTCTGGATTTGCTATTATGTTGTCTTTTACCCCTTGTCTTATCCCAAATTTCTTGGTGATGTTAAAACAAAGGCAAAGTTTGTCCTTCTAAATAAAACTGTAGCTCACTTGAAAAACTTGATTTCACATTTTGAATGTTTAGTTTCATAAACTATGAATTTAATAGGTCCATTAGCCTAGTGTATAGACTTAGTGCCTACATATTTAGTCTACTACGTACTATGGGAACTCATTCAAATTTTCGACATCCACTGTTATCATTAACTGTCCATAAAGTAAGGACTGCAACATTTGTGCAGTCTTCTGGTGTTGGCTCTCTAAAATTAAACTTCAAATGTTGAAACAAAGCTTAGAGATTTCACATAGCACAAGTGAGATAATTGTTGAGATATGAATTCTCTAATTGCATATAGAAAGAAGTATATAATATGAAGAACGATTTTTTTCTAATCCTGTTCTACTGGTGGTTAGGATTTTGTCTTTTCATATCGAAGACGGGTTCATTACCATAAAGGAAAATTTACTCGTTCAGGATACTTACACATAACCTCTACTTACTCGTTCAGACTTCACGGATTGTAAGTCTGGAATGGATTGTAGTAATTTAAGAAGCAACAATAGTACTTTTACTGAAGAGCTGCTATATTGCTTCAGTAGCAGAAGTGTTTGTTTATATTTCTTGTTATTCACTTGTTCAATACAGCAGCAAATATATAGTGATACATAGTAACTTGACCAACTACTTTTGAATCAACCAAGATACTTTTTTATTAATACAACAACACATTAATTTTAACAATAACTTAATTATAACATTGATCACAAATTGGTAGGATGATCACAGGTAAGAGGTCTGCTAAATTTTACTGGAACATTTTTCTGGCGTTTACGTCATGGCATAACGAGATAATGAACCACTGTCAAGATTGTAGACTTTAAAATTTAGAACATGCTTTCTTTTGAACTAAGTCATGATTCATGAATATGAAGAATATTGGTTAACATATAAGCCATGTCTTTCGCCGTTCTATCACAATGAATCATTTTGAAGCGTGAAAGAACAATAGTATTTATTAGTCATGAATGAACAATATTTCTCAAAACTTACTTGTAATCTCAACCATGAAAGGATCTATATCCATTTTTTAAAGATCTTTAAACCCCTATATTGTCGATATTCTGTTAAATAGATATTGGAGTAATCTATTGGTAAGACGATAAAACTAACCAGTGAAACTGTCAAGATGAAGCTCGTTTTGGTATATGTATAAATCCCTTATTCTCCTCAACTTACACTTCACCATTCTTGTGTTGATTATTGTGGCCTTAATCATGGTTCATAAGATAAACAACTTCCTTTTGTTTGGTCAGAAAAGACAATTATGAATTCATATGATGGAAAATGTCTGATTGAGATTGCTGATATTTGGCCTTGATATTGCCATATGTTGTTCTATTTTTACTAAACAAATTGGCACCTAACTAATAGGCAATTAGTCAGCAGACAAGTCCTGTTCCTTTGTGCAAACCAGTAGGGGACCTTTGTAAATCAGTTCCTATGTCAGTTTCTAGCCTTTGATTCTGCTTTTTCTCCCAACAAACTAGGGACCCCAGTTCTGTCTGTTGTCTCTTCTTTTCTCTTTTTTCCTTTATTTCTTTTCCTTTACTTACAATTTCAAGATTCTTTTAGTTTTTAATACATTAACGTATACTGGAAAAAGATAAAATCATCACAACTCTAGACTCCGAGCTTTTAACTGTTTAAAGCATCTTCATTTTATCCTACAAATGACAGGATTCCTCATCCTTAACTCCGCCTATGTGAGCTCGTTCACATTGCCAGTCCCAAGTCCGTATAAAGGAGTAGGATTGCTGAGTGTCAAACAACCTTTAAGGAATTACACTGAGTTTATTGATATTGACAGGATTTCTCATCCTTGGTCATTGACTAAAAGCCAGGGTAATAAAGCATTCGTACCAGAATTAAACAAATCTTCTTATAGAAATAGAACAAAAAGTCATGATCTTCGAGCCAATAAAGACTGAGAAGATTGACTCAAGAACCAATTTCATTCCAAGCTTCATTGTAGAATTCGGACCTAACCATTAAGTAAGAAGTGATGGGAACGACAGACAGAACTTGTGAATGCAAAAGATTCTGCAATCAAGAATTGACTTTTTTTAACTCTGTGATATCAACCTTAACTAAGTTTTATAATTGTTACCTATAGTTGCATTTGAAACCTTTTGGCTACATTCTGGGGTCATTATCTTTGGTCTTTAAATATTTCATTGCTTTTTTTTCTAAACTATTGCTTCATTGCTTTCTTTTGTCTATTTAACTCCTAACAGTCAAGAGACAGATAATACTAATACTTTAAAACAATCATTTTTCTACAAGAAGCATGTAGGAAGCTACAATTTAATTCTATAAAAAATTGCAAAGGGCCAAATAATATCACTATCTAAAGCATGGCCAATGGCTTCAACATGTCTGCTAATACTTGCAATTTTTTTTTAATAATATCTCTTTTTCCCATTCCTGCAGAAAACGAGTATCATATGTCATCAAATTGGCCTTTAGTAAAATTTTAGTCAAAGAAGCCTTTAGTAAAATAATCTTAGAATATGAAGAATTAAATTACTTAAAACATATTTCTTAAATAACTTATAGCTACAAAGTGGAGCTATCACTAGGATTATATTAAATGATAAAATTCTTTGATTTAGGATTATGGATTAACAATTCTTTGCAGTTATGCATTTGTTTTTTTTGCAAATATTAATATTGTATTTAGTTGGACGGCATGATAACATTAGGTGCTAGCAAAAAAACAAAGAAAAAAGGAATTCAAAAGATGAAATAATTACGTAAATATGATGATTACTTTGAGAAAACAAAAACAAAAAGAGAGGAATTGTCCTAATTAATTACTTGTTTGATATGAATGCAACATGTGTTGCTGTTTGAATTTATTTTAAAAAAAATCTATGCAATATTGTATTTCTGAAATTACTGTAAAACAAGCTCACGTGAATCCCTCTATCCTCAGCCAAGCATTTTATTTTTATACAGATTTAACTTATATACACTGACAACTTAAAATATTTTAATCTGTTATAGCGGATAACCTGTAAACTCTTTATATAAACATCTCATTTCCCTTTTCCTTTCTTCACATATTATTGTACTATTCACCATGGAAAATTCCCAACAACCTCTTGCCACAGAGAGTTTTTCATATAGCTGGTTGTTGAACAGAAAACCTTCCATTGATGGCCTAACAGAATCCCCTAGACCTTCTTATAGTAGTGATGATGATCATGATAATGATGATGAAGAAGATATGAAGTTTATCGCTTACTCGAAAAGATTCCTAGAAGAAGCTCAAAACTTCAATTTTGATGTTCATCCTGTTTCTGAATCTGTCCATGCTGATGAAATCTTCTCTGATGGACACATCATGCCTCGATATCTTGATAAATCAAAGATTGAATCTTTTCGCGAAGCCTTCAATAATTTCAACATAAATTCATCAGTACCCTCAAGTAGTACTCATCCCACACCACGAGTTTCAGATTCTACAACTAGTGATCAAGCTGATTTTCTTGAGAAATGGAGGAAATTTTCGCGCAGAGTCTTGGTTAAATGGTTCGGATTCATCAGGCCAATTTCCAAAAGGATATCAAGTTCAAGAAAAAGTACAGCAAAAGTTGATGACCTTCAAAGAAAAGTAAGTGAAATTCAAAGCTGCAAAACTACTGATTCTTCTTCATTTCAGGGATCTCCTCCTCATCGAATAATGAAATCTCATTCTGTTGTCGATTGGGCTGGAAATCGTAATGATCAGAGAAGTAGAGTTAAGACTTTGAGAAAGGTGAAAAGCTGGAGTAGTATTAAGTCACCACAGGCTTATAATTCCCCTATAAAAAGTCCATCCTATGATCATTCTAATGATGTTTGGCGCGATATGGAGAGCGCGGTTTCTGATGCAATTCTTCACTGTAAAAGATCATTTGGTATGTTAACAGAGCCTGATCTCAATCTTGATGATCATTTTGTCAAGAAGATGCAACACTAGCTGTTTAATTTCATCCTTTCTCAGATGTATATTTAAATTTTTGTCTCCTCATACAAATAATCTATCATATATCACTCAGATTCACTATTTTGTACATTCTGAGGTGGAAAAAAAACAAGTTATTAGTACTTATTTAACTTGCTAGTATCTTCTTATTTTGTGTAGACCATGTTAATAGTACTTTGGTTTCTTAATTATCATTTTGAAGTATCTGATCCAATTTTATCTATGCTTGAGGATAGATCAAAATTGAAGAATGGTGCTATAATTGAAATGAAAGAGTATGATTATACACTATTATACATTCACGGGCTATTTTTAGTTTAAGCGATTGAATAGACAGATTATTTAGATTAATCCTTCTTTTTTTTAATGGTGTGGGGATAAGGTTGTAAAATGTCATCAGGACCCTCACATAGTCTCATTTTATTTCTCTTTTTGTTCTTTACTGGAGATGGTCTGTGCCATTTTGTGGAGTAGCTGGGAGGGATTTTGATGAAAGGCCCACCACTACAAGTTAGAGTTTTATATTGGTTGAATTAATGGAGTATGATATCACATTTGCAAATTGCAATGCCTACTTAAAATTTCATAACACCTCCATAAACACCAACTAATTATCTTTTGATACATGAGTGTCATATGACCTACCTCATAAAAAGAAATTAAGAAATGTTGAGGCAATGATAAATTCAGAATTTAGACCCAAGTAGTTAGTAACATAAAAAAAAACCATCATTCTCTCGCTTTTAGAGATAGAAGCCCAACAAAAATAACCAAAAAGGGCATACTAGAACCCTGCTACATCAAGTCTAGATTGATTCGCCGTTGGTTCTAGGATATTTATGATAAAAGTTTACCTGCACTTGATGTTTACACTAGCCCAATAAATACGTGACACGTCTTCACATACATTCTTACCTTAATTTACAACTTAATCATAGTAAATTAGTAGAATTTAACGTAAGCATCTAGTGTGAGGAAGCTTTTATGCTTGGTAATAGATTCAATATGGTCTCTCTTAAATATATTGCTAAGCCTTTTTGTTTCTTTAAATTTGTCAAAAAAGAGATTTTTTTTTGTCTCCATCAATTAACTTTGGTTATTAGATTTAACATAAAAGGTGAAAAAAGAAAAAGAAAAGAAGGTTAACCAAAGCAATACAAAAAAGGTTCAGTAAGAATATAATTCTAGGTGGGAAAATTGTGTGTTCACATTACTAAATTATCTGCATAACTCATCCATTTCTATAATAAGTACTGAAAATAGACAACAACTCACAATGCTCTCTAATGATTTCCTTATTATAGTTAGCATTTATTCCCGTTCACTTCTGTTTTTCCTTTTAATAACTACTTGAACTTATTGCATTTGAGCTGAGAGTCTTTCGAAAATAGTTTATCAGGTAAGAGTAAGGTCTCGTACACTCTATCCTTCTCAGACTCCGAGATGTAAACTTGTTCCAAACTGTTTGGCTATCCAAAGTGTGACACTGAACCCAAGAAAGTCTACATAAGTGCTAAAACTTTCTTTAAAGAGAAAGCTAATTCTGCATTGAGACAGAAATCATGTTCAGTTGGTAAAGGAAACAAAGAAAGACACAACAGGGTCCCATGAGTGGCAATTGTTAGGAGAAAATCCAAGATTTTATCCCCATCACTTTTTTGTTTCCATGCATAAATATTTGTTTTCTTATCCTTAACACATATGTACAACTATGCACTCCTATCAAGAAGGGAAACAAACACCACAAATTTGGCTCTTTTTTTATGGCATTTGAAATTTGAAAAAATAGAAAACATTGATTTTGGTTCTTTTGAGATTTTGAGGAGGGGACCAACGTAACGTCCTAAGCTAGCTACTTGTCCCCGCAAAAATGTTTTTAGCATCCTAATATTCTTTATCTCAATTACCAGCTCACTTTAAGTGGTGCACCTTAAAACATGGCTTTAATTTGTCTATCGTACGTACGTGGAGTAATTAAAACTCTTTACCAACGAAAATGTTTTCTTGAATGATGGTGTTATCTAGAAAATTAGTGAGTTTGATATGTAACCAAAAGATACTTATTATCTTAAAACAGGGAGTATATATAATCTAGACAAATACTACTGGAGGTGGGGGTAGGGGTGAAGGATGTTGGAGAGTTGGAATTACACAATCAATTAATGTTGAAGCAATTTGTGAAACATGTTTTCCCTACTTTAGCGTTGAAGAAGTTATTTTCCTTATTTTTAAGGAATTTATTTTCTAGAGAATATGTTTTTCAAAATTTTTGATAAACCAAACATATAAAAAAAGGGAAAACATTTTCCGCACCCTTAAATCCAAATGAACTATATTGCTTTTTAGAAAGCATTTGGTTGGAATTCAGAGTATGTACTTTATCAAAGTAATTCTGATTTGTGTAATTGCCATGTGCTTAATATGTTCCAGCAAGATGAAAGTTGCTTTGGCTTTTTCTAAGTTGTAGGCAAAGCGGTTTCGTATACGTAAATCGTAATTAGTTATATAAGTGCAATTGTGCTCGTGTTACACGTACGAGGGAATAAAGAACAGTAATAAGCTAGTGTATTAATTAGCAAATATAATACATGCATTAACTCTATGCATTAGTAGTCTCTTGTTTGGTACATTTTCTCATGCTATGTTGCATTAGTTATACACTTTATTGTGTATTGAAGAGTGTATTATTAATGGAAAAATCCTTTTGGCCAGAAAATTTGGCCAGAATGGTATTTTACCTTTTTAAATATGTTTATCCTTTTAACTTTGATACCGTTTAACTAAAGAATGGAAAAAAATCAGTTTATTTTTAAATAAAAAAGATATTATAATTTTTTAAAATTTCTGGCCATTTAGTATTCATTACCCATTATTAATATCATGGATATCTTGGTATTAGTAATGCAAGTGTATTTAATACATGCATTAGCATGGTTAAAGACTAAATTACCCCTCAAAAGTACTTTTACATCTTTTCCACCATAATTATGGAGGATATTTTTTTAAATAAATATTTTTATACAATGCATACTATTTCTAATACATCAAACCAAACAATGCATAAGAAATAATTTATGCATAACTAATATTAGAATTATTAATGCAAGCATTATTAATAGTCTAATACACTCTACCAAACGACTCATATCAGGATTTTCACTACGGACTTGTTATCTAGTGTTTATCGAAATTATTTAATTATAGATTGTAATTTTTCGACAAGAGATGATTCCATTGACACCCGGGTTTGAGTGTGTATATAAAATATTCATTGATCTGGTAACATGTATACCATTCAACAGCCAACTTAATATGGAAAAATCAAGAACCGTGTCTACTAATTGAAGTTTGTGTAATATAATTAACACCTACAATCTTTGCTTGTTGGTTTGTTATCTTAAGAACAACTAGGAATTAAGTAGGTAACAGTAGCAATGCATGTTTTTAGTAAAAACAACTTGTGGTAATATCGATGATCAGTTAATTTTTTCGAAATTAGGGGGACCAAAGACATTACTGTTTGTTGATGTTTTTAGTTGTCTTGTCGGGTCATATTGTTTTGTCCAAAAGTGTTAGATTCATTGCATGAACAATAATATGAAGTAGAGAGAAAGAAATTGCAGAGTAATAGTCATTCAAGAATGAAATGCCCTGTTTTGTTGAAATGATGACAAAAACTAGAGGAACGACTTGTAGGATTCTCAGTTGGGGACCAAATGACTCTTGTGCAAATATTTTTCTCAAGTCACATCAAGTTCAATACATTATGTACAATTTAACACTAGTCCATCATCTACAATGGGGAAAAAAACAGAGGGTGTCGATTCTAAGCACAGAAATTCTTGTCAAGTATCAGGAGAACAATGAAAATGAAGATGAAATCAACAGATTACCACCTTATACTAGAACAATCTTCCTACAAGTGGGAGTTGGAGAAAATTATTAGTAGTATTTTTCACTTGTTTATGGTACGACTGTCAAAGAAATAGTCACTTTTTAAACAGGATAGTTTTAAATATATACAATAAAGTTATTAGTTTACGATAAATATAGTCATATTTTTATTTACATTAAAAAATAGTCAAGAATTATAGAAAGTATATACTGCGTGTACAATATAGTTTAGAAAAAGTCATAAAAAATATATATTGACTATGCAACATAGCTTTCATATACATGAGTTATACATTGACTATACATTAAGATAAAATTAAAAAATTGAATATAGTTTAACTATACAGGAAGTATACACTGACTATTCAATCTTCAATCAACTCGAAATCACCTCTAAACCGTTCCAAATTTTAGATATGATATCCTCTCAATGTTTCGAATCTTTTGATATATAATTTGATCGGAATGATTCACGTTTGCGGTACTGCAACTTTTCTAAGAAGGAGAAGGAGATGGAGGAAGAGGAAGAACAAGGATGAAGATGACGAAGGTCTATAAAAATATGGCTACTCTGTTTTTCAATTAAAATTACGAAATAGTTTTTTTTGGGTAATTGTCACTTTTTTTATTAAGAAATTGAAATTAAAAAAAATGACTTTTTGAAATAATAACGATGTAATTATGTTATTGTCAAAGAAAATGACTGGTGTACTCTCTTGCTGATCGGATGAACCAATATATTTAGATTATTGTTCAAAGCAAAAAAGATTTTATCTTTTTGAAAATTCACATTTCAATATTGCTAGACCTTCATTGGAGTAAATATTTATCTGTATCAAGTGTTCATATCCAATTGATCATCTGAACTTTAATTAACTAGTATAAAATAAGGTAGAAATACATATTACTCAATTTTTATTAATTTTGATGATGTATAATGTTTTCTGCATTGATGCACAAAACTTAAACTTTGCAAATATATGTATATAAAAAACACACACATTATATTTATTTATCAGAAACTCGATCATAAACGCCCTAAGTAAGCTTCTACCTCTCCATAGTTACTACTTACTATATGTTCCTGTCATTTTGCCATTTAGTTCAACACTTGAACAAATATCTTATTTTTAATTCAAATTTGGTCAAAGAAGTAGAAATTGAAAAAGAAGAATTATTAAGTAGAATAAGATGAAGTGTATGAACAAGTTGTTATAGCTCCCCTTTGCATCATTTATCGTAGAATGAGGTAAAGATCATTTTTGACATTTTAAAATTTCATTCAATTTGATTTTAGTGGTTGTTTTACAATTACTAAATACAAATTTAAAAGATAAAGAAGGCATGATTTCAAAATTCAAAAAAATTAAGGGGTATAAGTATTTAGGATTCAATAAAAAAATAATTAAGTAAATAAATATATTACACAAACACGTTATTGCAACTCCTAAATAATTTAATTTAGGTTAACAAGTTAATCACATCTCCTCCACTCTTTCCATCATTGTCACTTATATTTTACAAACCCATTTTATTTTTATAAAATTAGTAAAACAAAAATAAAGAAGTAAAATGAAAAAAGTAATGTCAGATTTGAACCCCAAAAAAAATTAAGGAAAAAAACACAAGTTATATGGGAAAAAATAAAATTAGAAGTGAATTTGAACTAAAAAGATTTTTAAAAAAAAAATAATGTCAGAAGTGGGATTTGAACCCACGCCCTCTCACGAAGACCAGAACTTGAGTCTGGCGCCTTAGACCACTCGGCCATCCTGACTTTCGTTGTTTATATATTGATAAATTATTTAATTATCCATTTGTTATCTTCGTCCTTTTTATATTTTTAGACACCAAAATATAGAAGGCGCCAATCAAAGAACCAATTTTTGCTACCTGAAATCATCGATTCACATCTGCTAGGGTTTAACACTTCCTCAGTTGAAGATGCAGGTATTTGAATTTATTTACACTGTGTGTTCAATTTTCTAACATTTTCAGCTGATTTCAATTTCTCGGAATCAATTTTTAGTACCCGATGAATCAACCGGGGCCACCACTATTCGGACGACCGTTACCTCCGCCACTACCGGCTTTTCCACCGGCGTCAAGTGCTTTCTGGAATAGCTCCACCAATGTGGTTGATCACCTCAAAAACTTACACGACACCGTGAATCTGGCGACAGCTTTGTAAGTAACAGAAAGCTTAAAACTTTGAATGATGAAACACTATTATATACATTATTGAATGTGAATTTGTATGTGTTGCTCTATAGATCTTTCTGCGTTTTGAGTAGTCAGAAGGAGCTGGAAATGACCAGAAATAGAGAAGTTGTCATTTATGTTTGGAATAGATTTAAAAGGAAATAGTGTTACATAAAACATAAATGAGGGAGTAACAACAACAACATACCTAGTGCAATCCTGCGAGTGAAGTTTGGGGAGGGTAGGATGTATGCAATAGAGGGAGTAATAAAGGTGAATAAGGTGACAGTTCGGAAATGGTGCTAAAACTTTGATCTAGAAGCACCTATTATTTGCATTGGTTGAATGCAAATTTGATACCACCAGGGTGGCGGGAAGATAGTAAAGGTCCTCCCTCTACTCTTAACCAAAGTCTCAGAGTTTGAGCACAATGTTACCCTCTTGTCTTGTTGGGGTGTCCCTTATAAATAGGTATAGTCACGTCAATGGATTTTTTATATGGAGGATGCTTAAAGGAGGGGGAAAAGAATGCAACTTGATAGTGTTCGTGTTTAGGTCTTCTAGGTGTTTTACTTTTGATTATTTTAAGCAGTTAATAAGAATTGGTATTTTTTTTTAAAAAGAACTGGTTACATAGACTTGGTCATGTTAATTAGGGTGGAAGATAAGAAAGAAAGTCTGAGGAAGGTTCGGATGATGGGGCTAAAGTTCGATTCAGAAACACAACGATGTATTTAGCAGGCAAAAAATCTCGAAAAGCTCGACAGAATGAGAAGGAATTTTCTATGTGAAGGCAACAACAAGGATCATAAGTTTCACTTGGTTAAATGGGCAAAAGTGACACAACCTAAATCTCAAGGGGGTTTGGGTATCTAAGATCTTGCAGCTCACAATAAAAGCATGATGATGAAATGGTTATGGAGGTATGGAACTGAAGACATTGGATTGTGGAAAGAGGTGATCAAAGCTAAACATGGTGAGCTTACTCACTGGTCCACAAAAGTCTCAGCAGATGCATATGGAGTTAGTCTATGGAAAAGCATCAGTAAACTTTGGCCAGATTTTGCTGGGAACGTCACATTTGGAGTTGACAATGGATCTCACATCAAATTTTGGAAGGACATATGGTTGGGAGACACAACTCTGGGTGAGGAATTTCCAAGTTTGCACCTGCAGCTGAACCAAATTCTACCGTAGCATCCAACAGATTAGAAGACATTTGGGACCTAAGGTTTAGGAGAAACCTAAATGACTAGGAACTTAATTACGTATTTGGTCTCTTTGCCGAATTGCAGCCTTGCTCCTTTTCACCCCAAGAGCCTGATAGATTGAAATGGGGTAACTCAAGAAAAGGTCACTACACAGTCAAGGAAGGGTATCACAGCTTATGCTCAAGGAACTCAATGATTGACAAATGGCCATGGAAGCATATATGGAAGACAAAATTACCTACCAAAGTGATCTGTTTCAATTGGACTGCACTACATAACTCATGCCTCACACAGGATAATCTCTCCAAAAGGAAATTCCAGCTTGCTAACCGATGCTATTTCTGCCACAAGCACACAAAGTGTCAACCACTTACCCTTCGGGGTGGCCCAGTGGTTTGGCTTGGGACTTCCATGTTGGAGGTCTCAAGTTTGAAACCCCTTGCCAGCGAAAGCAAGGGGTTTGCCTTCTGGGTCGAGCTCGTCGCACCAAGCTTGCCTAGTGCGGGTTACCTCTCCTATGTGGTTAGCGAGCTATTGCATAGGAACAGGGGTAGAACCCTGTGCGCACCCAAATGGTAGCGGCTGCGGGTTTCCCTTGTCATCAAAAAAAAAGAGAAAAAGAAAGTGTCAACCACTTGCTACTGCACTGCCCAACTGCCTCAGACCTCTCGAATATGTTTTGTTACTTTTTTGGTCTTTCCTGGGTCATGCCTTTCTCTGCTAGGGATGCTCTTGAAAGTTGGAGTTCACGGGAAGTTGACAAAGCCATCAAGAGTATGTCGATGATGATCCCTGGTGCTATCTTTTGGTGTTTATGGACAGAGAGGAACAAAAGATGTTTTGATGGAATTTCAACTTCTAGAAATCTTTTGCGAGGCAGATGTCTAGTTAGCCTTTTTAGTTGGTCCAAATTGACCCCTATAAATAATTTAGAACTCTTCTTGGATCCTTGTAAAGCTTGCATCTTCTTGATTCCTTGAAATGAATCTACTTACTTCATCAAAAAAAAAAAATTAGCAGGCAAAAAAGAGATGGAATTTTTTAGCTAGGGTGAAAGATTAAAATATCTGAAAGGGGTTCGGAAAATGGTGCTCATAACAACTTTATTGTGTAACTAAAGCTTAGAACTTCAAATCAGTAGTATATGCATTATTGCATATGAATATGATAGTTTATGTGCTCCTGTTTATCTTTTGGGTTTTTGAAATTTGTGCAGGAAGAAGGAGTTGGAAATGTTAATTACGTTGAAAAACAAGAAAGAAAATTCTGAGGAGGGTTCAGAAAATGGGGCTAGTGCAGGCTCTGTTGATAGTTGTGTGAAGTTTATGGAGCATTCTAGGATCAATATGGAAAGCCAAGAATCGTTGTCGTTGGAAGCGGCTAATGCTTTAATGTCAAAATTGAGAGCTCAGTTGGAACCTTTTAGAGTTATCACAGATGAGATGGCCCCATGGGAGGAAAAATCTGCAACTGTTGGATTAGCAAATAAAATGCACAAGTACAAAAGGAACAAACTTTGGCGAAAGAGGAAGAGGAAACACATTGCAGAAAAGCTAGCAAAGGTGCTATTAAACCCATTTTATACAGCATTCCCTTTTTTTCATGTCTTCTGTATTTTTGGAATTTTAATCTCTAAGGTGTTTGTGACTTTGTGTTATCCGTTTTAGCATTCTGATTTGTGATGTCACACTTATCATTAGGAGCGAGAGCAATATGACCAAATTGATATGGAAGCTGATGAATGGAGGGCCAGAGAGATAGCCAAGGATATTGCAAAACGCAAGGTATTAATACTGAGACTGCATAGTATTAACTGCTATGAAATACTGGTTTAGAATTTCCATCCTGTTATAGAAAAAGTAGAGGTGGCCCTCTGTGTTGGCTTGTACTGCCTGGGTATGAACACTTGTGAAAACTTCTCAATCATTAGCCCAAAAACATTAAAGGAAAAAGAAATGGAGAAAGAGAACAATAAATAGCCAGATTGAATGTTCTTAGACAACAAATGTATCCCTTAGATTTTAGACACGTCTATTGATTACCTTCATCTATTCTTTTTTCTTCTGTATTGCTCAGTAACTTATGGTGTATCCGCAGGTTGAAAAGATGAAAGAAATAGCAAAGCTAAAGGCAAAAGAGGAGAAAAGGAGACTAGAATCTGAGGTGAGAATGATGGTTGCTTATTCATGCAACTGGACATGACTGTTGAAGTTCCCAAAGCTTTTCCACAACCAATGTAGCAATTTCTTAAGGATTTTAGAAACTTCTGAGAGTTTTGACATGGTGTGGCACCATATTTATCATCCAGTTCAGTGTTTCATGTGGTTGAGTTTTGCTCTTACTCCTCTTCCAGTAAACAAATTCTGCCAGATATAACCCTTGGAGACAGATATATATAGAAAGTGTGCAGTGAGGGTACTTGTAAATCATTAGGTAACCTAGCTCGACCCAAGCAATGCCCAAAAGTCCCATGCCTTTCTTGGTCGGACCAACCTAACCGTCACTCCCAAAAAGAAAAAAAAGTTCCTTTTCAATACCACAAGATATGGGAGGTTGGTTTACGGTTTATTTGAGATGACAACCAAGTAATATAATATTGTATGCCCTTTATTTCTGGGTATAATGATGTTGAGTCACTTCTATTTTTGCTTTCAGCTTGAGCTGGCATTGATAGTAGAGAAATTGCAAGAATTACGTTCCATGAGGGTTCAGAAATTGAAGAAGCAAGGTAAATATCCTAATGACGTTGATATGTCTTTGTGTTTCCTTTAGTTTATCTAACTTGTTTGATCCTTTTCCTTTTGAATTTATTATTTTTACTCTGTTTCTAGTGGGACACTTATATTTGTGGTTGAAATCTGCACCGAAGTAAAAGCATGCGGTGTTCTGCATGGATTGTTGAAACAGTTTGTAATGAATGAGTATTTTTTTATTCGTTAACTATAAGATGCTCAATAGGAAAATGAATTTGGTGAAAGAATCAGTAGTTTCCCTTGGGATTGTAATTTCTTTCTTAATGCTGCGACTGTGTGTGTATCATTTGGCAGCTTCCTCTTTTGCTTCATGAGTTCCGTGGAGAATTTAACCCAAATATGAAGTTAATGTGTCTTCAGTATGTAACTATTTTTATATGCTGATCTTTTAGCATCGATACTCAGAGAATGAGTGTTACTGCTGTTTTTCTATAAACCTGTAAACATTTGGCTTTACAGGATGACAGGGTAGAAACCCTTGTCAAAGATACTTTCACTGTCTTTTACCCTCAGTCTTGTCTATCCCCTTTGGCCCCAGAGACATGCCTTCTTCAGTCTTAATTTCTAAACATCTTGTTTATCCTTGAATAGGTCACTTTCTCCCTGAGGAGGATGACAAGTTTCTAGAAAAAGTAAGAGCTGCAGTCGAGGAAGAAGAGCGACAGGCAAAGGCAGCAGCTGATACAGCTGCTGCTAAGGATGCAATTGCAACCGCTGAGGTATCCAGGAAAACAATTCAAAGTCAAAGACCAGAGCCCGGTGACCTGCATGCTAATACTGATGACGATAAAATAAATCCAGACCAAATGACTGTGGATAAAGATAAATCAGGTCCTACACCTGTCAATGAGTTGGAAAAAGTTGGATCTAAAGGGCTAGGCTCAGCCAGCTTACACGATTCTGTGGCAAATCTACCAATGGAATTTTATCACTATTACTATGGCAGTAATCATGATTTGGGAACGCTTATAGAGGTGAATTTGGCTATTGTCTTGTTAATTCTTTGCTCTGCAGTAGATTTGCATTTCTCTGTCATTGTGATTGAAGGCCCATTCTGTTCTTTCTATGTTAATTATGAGTTGTTTTTGCAAGAAGAAATGTCAAAGTTGATTATGCTTGACATGAAACCTTTTCTTTCTTCTATAGGTAAGAAGAACATGGGATGCATACATCAGACCTGGAGGAAGGTAAATATATCTTGCTAAATCCTGCTAGTATCCCTTTTTGGACTTTTTGTTTAGTCCACAAAAGCAAAAGTTGCATTAGTCATTTCCTTATCCACCAAGGTTTTCACTAACAAACAAGCAGCAGACGTAAGAGGAAAAAAAGGTTGAAAAGGAACATCTCATGACTGCATTTGTTGGTCAGATGGACATCTAGCGTAGCTTCATTCATTAATAGTCATTATTCTCTCGATGCTTACATCAATCAGTCCTTAACTCCTTATCAAAAAAAAATACCAATCACATTTTTAACACTGTTAGGGGTTCGTTTGGTACAGTGTATAAGAATAATGTTGAATAAAGTATATTAGTAATGCTTGCATTAGTAGTGTTTGCATTACTAATGCTTGCATTATTTCTTATACATTGTTTGGTTTGATGTATTAAAAATAACAAACCTTGCATAATTTTTATTTTAAAATGTTTGTTTACAAAAATGTCCTCCACACTTTTTAGTTTTGCATACTTTCTATGCAACAAGGTTCTTTTGCTTAAACATTGCAATAAAGTTCTTTACTAAAATGTAGCTAGCTCTTCTTCTTTTTTTTCCCAAAATAAAATTAAATATTTGTTAGTATTTTGAATTCTAAACTTATTTGCTTATCAAGTAAGGGACGAGATATTAATTAAGAACTTGGAGTATTTTCGTGTTTAGCTCCAGGGTCATAAGAAAAAACATATTGATCTCAAGAGGAAGAATGTATGATCAATGATGCCTAATGATTAGGGGGTTAATATTAAAAATTGAAAGGAATACGAAGTTGAGTGCTGATAATTCAGAGTAATTGGGTTCAATAATTGTTAGGTAACAACTGAGAGAGAAAAGGAGTAAAATATTTTAAAAGGGCTTTGAGGGTAGTTTTGTCATAGTTAATCTAATGCAAGTGTTAAAATCCTTTGTATTACTAATACCTAGAAATTTATGGTATTAGTAATACACACCACAATACACTATAGAGTGTATAATTATACATAGCATGAAAAAGTATACCAAACAAAGTACTATTAATACACAGAACTAATGCATGCATTAAGTTTGCTAATACACTCTACCAAACGACCCCTTAATATTCTTGCCTAGATATACCCTTATTACCACCGCACTAGTTTTAAGATTTTGGCAGTTCACTTAAGCATGTGATTTAACATTTTTAACTCACTGCCACTAAAAGAAAAATAATGAGGTTGGAAGATCATATCAAAGAATCATTTCAATGTCATTATCAAAGTATAATTAGGATTTGTTCTTGGAATCGGCTGTGGTAATAGAATCCAATCGTGCAGTAATCCAACTGAAGGTCCAGCTTGATGCAACTAGTTGTGATTGGCTCACTGCTTTTGAATTGTTGAAAGTATGCCCTTTTGCAAACAAAATATGAAGTCATTTCTATTCGACCACTGATAAAGAAATGTCCTTGCTATTTACCCTTTAGTGTCTTCTGCGCGAACTATGTTCTCCTTTTAATCATTATTCTCTTTGGAGTCACTTTCTTTATACTAACAAAATGTAATTCTTTCCAATTTCTCATGACCAGTTATGTCTGCATATGCCAAATAACAGGTATATCTAACACCCACCCACCCCTTAATCTTTGTGTGTTGATGCAGCCGAATACCTGGGCACTGGGTCCAGCCACCACCTCCAGCAGATGCGATATGGGCATCCTACCTGGCGAAGCCTAAATGACATTTTTATAGGTGGTTTCCTAGTGCCTAAGCATTGCCTTTGCAGATTGTCTCGTTTGCTGGCTATCCTACTAAATTATTCGTGATCTTTCAGCATTGCGCCTTTGATGCTTGTGGAGGACATCAAGACACGGACAAAAAGGCTTGTGCCTAATTTCTCTCTCTCCCCCCTGATCAACAGAACTCCAAGGCAAACATGAGGGACTGACTTTGTCTGAAACAAGGTTAATTCAAGTGCAATACTGTACAAGGAAGACATTGATCATTGCTAGGAGACCAGACATGCCATAGTAGCTACTAGCTACCATATTGATGAATTATTGCCTCGCAAGTCTTACACTCATCAATAGCAGGCTTTTGTTATTGTGTATCGCACCCATTGGGGGTGAAGCTAGATATAAGGGGGTTCAAATAAATTTCCTTCGTCAAAAAAGTATATATTATGCAAATAGGGTCAGAATGAATTTATTTGGATATATACAAACAGTTGAATCCCTTTGACCCAAGTACAAACTTTAGGGTTCTTTGGTAGGATGTATAAGAATAACACTACATAAAAGTGTATTAGTAATGCTTGCATTAATTTATATAGATTATTTTTTATACATTGTTTTGTTTTGGTATATTAAAAATAGTACGCATTCTATAATAAATATTTATTTATAAAGATATCTTCCACAATTATGTCTCATGGAAAATATGTAAAAAAAAAAGGTTTTGAGGGACACTGGGGTTTGTCTTTAACCATGCTAATGCTAATGCATGCATTAAAACCGCTCGCATTACTATTATCATGAATTTTCATATATTAGTAATACACACCTCAATACACAATAGTGTATAATTAATGTAAGCATCAGTTATATACTTCTTTTATCCAATAATAGTTGTATACTATTGACTTGACATACACCTTTAGAAACAATAAATAATAGGGGTAGTATTACTATACTACCCTTTGAATATATTAAATTGAATGCTTTGAAAAATATATTAGATATTGAATAGTATTAATATCAAGAGTAAAATAGACACCGAAGGGTAAATTATCTCTTGATTTTTCAAACTGAAAAAGTATTGTTGGACAACTACTTTTAGTATAGTGAACAAGTAAAGATGAACTGAGGGAGCACCAAACAAGGTACTACTAATACACAAAACTAATGCATGCATTATTTTTTTAATACTATACCAAATGACTCTTAATAAATTGTTTTAGCTCATAAGCTCAAATCTAAACTGTGGAATTTTAATATATATTGTTTAATCCTGTAGTATATATTTCTGGCTCTGGAGCTTTGACATTGATACCCATTTTTAATTGTATATAACTTTCCTAAATCCCATAGTGTTAGACCTTAAATTACATTCTATTCCTACTCTTTTTTATTTTACAAAAATCCCTTAAAAAATCAACAATTCGGATACATAAATTGTATTCAGATACATTGTATATGATACATTATAAACTTGTCTATTGCGCTTAATATGGAATATTAATTGTATATAACTTACCTAAATCCATAGTGTTAGACCTTAAATTACATTTTATCCCTACTCTTTTTCATTTTACAAAAATCCCTTAAAAAATCAACAATTTGAATACATAAATTTTATCCAGATACATTGTATATGATACATTATAAACTTGTCTGTTGCGCTTAATATGGAATATTAATGTAAAACTAATTTTCTTTCCCAAAATAATGCAAAACTGATTTTCTATTCCCACAAATCACGCAGTGCTGATTTTCTTTTCCCACAAATCACACAGATTGATTGATATCAATCTGTAACAACTTCACAAAATTCAAAAATCAAATTTTCATCTTCTCTGTCAATTTAAAATCTTGAATCTCAAATCCGTCGTTGTAAATGATTGGACAAACGATTCACGATTTCGAATCATCAATTCGAAATCGTTAAGTATAATAAATCGTTGAGTAATTTGAATTCAATGCATCACACAAATCTGATTGGACAACCTTGACTGTTGCTAACATTGCTAACAAGATCCCTCTGTCAACTAGTAAGTTTCTATTTCCATTTTCATCTTTCGTTTATTAAAATTTAATTTGATTTATGAAAAGTTAATTCATTTCTTGTTCAGAGAAAATTAATGAATCTGAGAAGTTGCTAACATTGCTAACAACACATATTTTTTTAAGTGTAGTTGCAGATGCCAATATATGCTTCATAAATTTCATTTAACATAGTGGTAGAAAGAGTACCATGCTGCGTCTAGACTTTCAAAAAACAAAATCAATTTTATATATATCCATTCTTATGAGCATTATATGACATTATTTGAGATTACAAGTGATGAATAAAACACTTCACAACATCCTTAGAATCATTACACCAGAGAAACTGAAAAGGAGAGCTTATGATTAATTGTCAGATGAAGCAGTAGCAATTCAGCCTATTTAATAAAAAATAAGATGTACCATCAATCAGAGCCTTTCTAAATTGGGGTTGTTGATCAAGTGAAGCGCATATGCAGCGTGTTGAACCATATTGTAGTTAATAAACTTCAAGTTTAATTGCTTGATGTTGTACAGACTGCAGTGTTACCTGAAGCTTTGGTACTAGAAGGACTAAAACAAAACAATGGCCATTACCTTTGGACATTTTTCTTCGACAGAAACAGAATCTAGTGATCAATATCAGATAAAAGTCCAGAGTCATTGTTTTGTTTGTCATTTTGATGTGAATATGTAAGTCATGATACATTAGTGGTAAACAACGCACGTGTATTGTAATTTTGAATCTATGGATTATGATGTGGTCATTATTTTGTATCTGGATGGAATTTGTGTAAAAATGTATCATCATAATATATTGTATATGATACATGTAATAAATGGATTAACAATTGAGATGGATCAAAGACGTTTTGAATATCGAGTGTGTGTATCACAAATTCGTATAAATGTATCAGAGTTCACACTTATTGTGTATATTGTACATATAAATAGTGTAACAATCAAGATATGTAAATTACTTGTTTTTATCGAGAAACAAGTGTGGATGATACATAAATATATATCCATCTTGGATTTTGTTGAATAGTTGTATCATTGGTTATTGTAATGTATCTGGTACATGTTATAGGATGGCTACAAAATTGTGTCGCTATGTGTTAGTTTGATGCTGGAAGAAAATACATTGTTTGCCTTAAACGAAAAATATGTAATTGTGGTAGATTTCAACTAGACGAGATACCTTGTGGACATTGTGGAAAAAAAGATGCATTACTCATGATACATTACTATTCCTAAAATATTTAGTAAATTGCTAAGTATTGTAATCCTATCAAATACATTAGAGAAGTAAAGATTTTTAGATCGATATATTACTGTGTGGTAGTTATTCAGTATCATATACATATAGTTCTAGTTTGCCAAAGAATGAATATGTATCATATACCTATTGTTGGATCTGATACATAGTGCTCCAGGTATAGAACATTATGATTTATGTATCAAGATTATTATTGGGTAAATGTATATATACATTGCATTCTAAGTTGGGTAAGACTGAACAAATATTAAAGAGTGCAGATACATAACACACAACTGATTTGTTACTAGCTAATAACTTTTAAAATTTGAGTAAGATTGATGATACATTAAAGAACTTGATACATGTAGATGATACATTAGGTAGTGTTTATGTATCAACAACATTTATATTGAATATGATAAAACTAATTGAATATTCAACAACATTAGAGTTATGTATCTACACCTTAAATATGAATATGATACATTGCATAAAACAAAAGTTATGGCACTAACAAAGGCTAATTTAAAAATTAAAATAAACGAGATACATTGAAAATCAACGAAGGCAATATACATTAGTTTAAGAAACAAAATCAACAAAATACATTAAAATCTGAACTCATATATATTATAAAGGATGAACAACAAAAAATCAAAAAAAATCAACAATTGATCTGTTGAAAGCAAAAAAATGACGAAGAAATCCCCCTACACTTTTATCTTTGCTCTATATCAACTTTTGTATCTTTTTTTCACTGTCAACCATGGAAAGTGATTTCACCAGCAAAAGAGGATCCCTGGAAATGATTTTGTTGCAAGGAGCAATGAGGAAAAAGAGGATTGAGGGAGTGAAAATAGGAAGAGATTGAGGGGTGAAATAGGGAGATATTAAAGGAGTAAAATTAGGAAGAGAAACGTGTGTTTTGAGTGTTGAAACTTTATGTATTCGGAACAGTGTTTAGGAGCAAAAAGAGGGATTTTGGAGATATTTTAAAATGGTAGGAAATAATGAAAATTATGAAAAATAAAGGTATATATTTAAGTAATTTATCCTTTTTAATTATATGTGATATTAGCAGAGCACATTTGTACATGTTCAACTTCAGTTGATAAGTAATTGTGGGAAGAATTATAGATCTTGTTAATTTACTTGGGATCGTTTGATGTGCATACTTGTTATGTTGATACTACAGAAATGGTTTACGATAAATAATCAAACTATTGTTATATAATGAAATAATAAAAGGGATTGATATGCAGAATTTTATTATGCATGAATTACTTATTTAGAGGCAATGTCTATAAATAGTTTAATATTTGTATTGATAATACACTAATTTTTAATATACATTATATTTCGCATAAAATAAGTACAAGCGTTATAATTATGCAAGAATCATTTTCTCCTTCAGTACAAAATAAGTGCAAGCGTTGTTATATATTTGTACAAGCAATGCTGGGATTAGTTATGCTGAGATTAGTTATGTTGAGATTAATTTTTATTATTTTGTTTGGCCTGTCATATTCACAGTTATATACTCCCTCCGTCCCATTTTATATGATGTACTTTGATTTGGCACAAACTTTAAGAAAAATGGAAAGACTTTTAAAACTTGTGGTCCAAAATGAATGATAGAAATTTGTGTGGTTGTAAATCATTTCATTAAGGGTAAAAAAGACATTTTATAGGCAAATTGTTACTTAAAATAGAAATGTGTCATTCTTTTTTGGACTGACTAAAAAGGAAAGTAAGTCATATAAATTGGGACAGAGGGAGTAGTTATATTCATTGCATAATTTTTAAGAATAAGTTGTTTGTTTACAAAAATACTCTCCCCCTTATTTAGTTTTTCTTTTTACTTTTTTTTTACAAGCTTTAGTTATTTATTCTTAAAAATAAAATTTTCATTTTATTTAGCTTAAATATTTTTGTGTGTGCATTTCCATGATTGTGCCGTATGTTTTTAAAATTAAACTTTCATCTTATTCAACTTAAAAATAAAACGTACATCTTATTTAGCTTAAAAATAAAATTTTCATCTTATTTAACTTAAAAATAAAACTTTCGTCTTATTAGTTTAAAAATAAAACTCTTATCTTAGTTAGCTTAAAAATAAAACTTCCATTTTAAGTTTATTAAAGTAAAAGAAATATTATTATTAAAGTTATATACATTTTAATTGATATATAAAAATGTGATTTTTAAGTGAGTAATAAATTATTTAATAAAAAAATATGTAATTTAGTAATGGAGTGAACATTTTAAGATAAATCAAAATATAAATAAACATAAGAATTAGACAAGTAAATTCAACTTA